ACATGGGCTAGTGTCGGCTCATATACCCATTTACCTAACACCCTGTATACATATAGTGTTGAATAAAATAACGACTTCAGTATTTAAACTTTCTCTATAATTTCGTTTAAAGATTACTGCAACATTCGCAGCTATATAAATGTATTTTAAATTGTAACTTCAGCACATCTCACAACTTAGTAATGGATTCCTCAGATCTCTATACCACTTAATACCATACATAAATGGCATGGGAATCCATAAACCGTCAACTTTACACCTAGCAGGGTATTTGCATCTCAAACGCTCCGCTTACGAGTAAAATCGTGGCGCTAATGTACGGTGATGGAGGTATATGGTTTGGGAAAAATTGGAGAAGCTTAGTGAAATCTAATGGCGCAGTTTAGTTTAATATTGTCCTATTTTAATTGAAACATGGGCGTGACTGCTTCTGGGAAGTATGAACCTGCAAACTTTTAGCGAAGAAAAGCCGTAGACAAAAGAACGAAAGAATTTTAATAGTTTGATATATGAATACGAGTAGCATATCGAAATATCAATCCGGTTTTAAGTTTTCTGGTTATGTTTTGACAACAAAATCTCAAATTTTTAAGCTGGCCGAGCGATATAATGTATTCTTGAACTAAGCCTTTTCCTGCGACTTCGTCCGCACAGTTTTCACTATAAGCACAGAATAATAATAAGTACTCTAAAAGTAAGTATTTATAGTGTTGTGTACAATAATGTATGTTCAATTTATCTAGCCAAGCCCATTTGACTATGTGCTTCTTCTTCTTTTTCTTATGATGTAATTGCAAAGTTTCACAAAAATGTAAAAAAACATCCATCAACGCATATTACGTTCATTCCCACAAACTGCCGTATTTATATGTGTATTATTCTGCCTTAGCTGCAACATTATAGACAAGTTAGACCACATAATTCGACTACCCTCAGCTAATGGCAGGGGAATCAATAACTCGTCAACTGTACACCTTGCTGCAAATTTGCATTTCAAAAGGATTCCCTTAGGAGTCGCTCTAACAGTTCCACGGCTCTAATGTATGAGGGATGTATCAACTATGTATCTAACATTACTCTGTATTACAAAATAAATAGCTACATTTTTAATCTACACCTACACTAATATTATAAAGAGGAAATATTTGTTAGCTTATTTAGATTAAGACCCAATTGTAAACACTTAATAAGCAATGAAAAATTTGAATTTGAATTTATTTAATAGGATACAAAACTACTCTACCGATTTGAAAAAATCTTTGTAGTTAAATACATATTTTTTCAACTTTATGAAAATCAAATACATAGTACACTAAATAAGATAACAATTTTTTCTTAAGTAGCCATACATTCTTGCGACTCATATAAGGTTTTCTTTTCAGTGCCAAATTACAGCTACAGGACGTTCGTACTTAATAATCTCAAGCTAAACATTTCAATATACTCGTGATACAGTTAATATTAATACAGTAAATGTGGAAACTATGTAGTTTAAACGCCTACCTCTCAGAGTAGCTTACCCCAGCGAAAGTACCACTTAGCAATAGGGCAGGCTATTTGTCGATAAAATTATCGATTTATCGATCTCAATATTGCTTTAGAAGAACTTTGGACATCGTTTAGTAATACTAGATTTAGTTTTTTTGAACTTTTAGAAGAAATAAGGTAAAACATGATTATGTAGGGAAAGATTATATTATTTGTGTCGATGAAAATCTATAAAGAAAAGCTCAGTCCGTCCATCATCTAGCTGCGCCATCCCCTAGGAACTAAAGTAGCTCTGGATCTCTCTGAACTCTTTATAAAGCAATTTTGGAAGTTTCATAAATCACCTTTTAATTAATTTTAAGTTCCTTCATTCAAGTTAATCTGATATAATTCAACTTAATTAATGTATCAATTATAGACTATCGATAGCAACCGACTGCACATCACTAAATACCGCGGCTGCGTAATACGGTTGTAACATAATACGCGCGTGTCACAACACTGCCTTATCACGTCTTGATGAATTATCGCCATCTTGGAGCCGTATACAGAAGTGATGCCAATTTGGGAATCTAATTAAGTAATGTACGAACGTGCTAGGACACATTCAACATGGCGCGAACATTGTGACGTCATTCAGTTGAAATTGTATTGAGGGTTTTGTTCTGGGATTTTTTAAGAAAATTGATTTATTTTAGACTTTTACGTCATAGTTTCAGCTAAATACTAATTTTAAAGTAGGTAAAGATGGCGCGAATATTTCTCGTACGTCAGTTGTTGTATTGAGGGTTTTGTTTTGGGACTTTTTGAAATTTGATTTTATTTTTAGACTTTTAGGTCATAGTTTCAACTAAATACTGATTTCTAAGTAAATAAATATAATATTGAATAAACAATTCTTCGACTCATAGGTAGAGGTTCTTCTTCTCTCATAAATGACGAAATGTTATTCCACGCTTTCTGATGATACCAGTTCATATTCAGATACCATGATACCAGTTTTAAGCTAGCCCAAGTTTCTCTGTTAAAATCTCACACTCATTACTTCTGCTTGCACCCGCAAGCCACTGGCTAACAGTGACTAGCTGCTGAACCCTGACACTAATGGACTCACGGCTTTAGCTCCTGCATTTTTTAAATCTTTGATAAACTTCGCTTTGGAGCTAAAATTATTAAGTATGACCTCTTTAGGTGCTTGAGTTCTTGAAGGTAAACGGTTTTATTAGTTTTTGTACGATGAAAAACAGTTAATAGTTTTGTACGATCAATTATTACTCAGCTTTGGTTGAGAGAAATTACTTTTGTAGAGTGGAAAAATATTTATGAATCTGTGGTACCTACTGGTTTTTTGTATGTATTTACATACCAAGTTCACAAAACCACTTTTATAAGTCCCAGACATTTTTTCAGGGCATTCAAACAACTCTCTAAAGTTCAAGATTTGATTTTTATTGTGTTTACTTACTGAACAACTTACTGTGTGCTTACTTAAAATAATTAATATTAATTGCACAATAGTTCACAAGACCCTTAAAATACTTTAACGAAATTAAAAACAATTAGTTCCCCGAACCTACCCACCACCATGTTCCCGCGTCGAAAACAATGTTTTTTATTCATTAAAAATAACCAAAGAGGTTTTTAACAATTACTACGCACCGGAAACTCGGCTGGTTGGCGAGCGATAATATCTTTGCTTTTTAATTATACCAATAGGCCAATAGACTCCGCCCGGTGCCGTAATTTATATGAAAACGTCCAATCATATTAAACTCTGTGGTCGTCGAGTGTCACTCGCGCGGGAAAAAGAATATGCCGCATTATAATTCAAAATTGGAACACTTTTTTTGGAATGCAATATTTGAATCGTGTAATTCGATCTGACAAGATGACGCGGGAAATTCTTGTGGGCGAGATTTTATAAAAACAAAAGAATGATTAGGTGAAAGAAATACTGTATTATTTTACGAATGGTCGATTTTAATTAAGTTCAATTACTTTTAAAATGTTTTGACAAATGAAAGCCGCAAATAGCGACATTAAATATAAAAAAAATGGATCAACCATACATTACTTAGCTCATCGGACCATTATGAAATAAAAAACCCGTAACTAGATTACAAATTAAATCATCCGCCTAATTCTTTTTTACTTCTACCTTTGTTCACAGCCGACACAATTTGCTCTAATACACGCGTAACACTCTCGATAAGTAGTCGACTATCTTCGTTGAATTTACGTACATTCGACGTCACTTCAGCGTACACATCTCTTACAAAATCGCCCCTATAACAATTGCTTAAGGTGGACTGTTTAGCTAGAATCGTCTGTCCATTTTATACTGTACCTGTATAATTTACAGCTGCTCCGGCGGATGCCTTCTCACAAATTATGATTCAAAATAACACATTTCTCCCGACCGAAGCTATAATGCGGGACTCAAAATTAACCATAATTGCTTAATTCGGAACTCATGCGTTGTTTGCCCTGATCCGCCGCAAAGGGTTCGATGGAGATGAATATAGAAAAAATAACGGATAAGAAAGAGATGAGAATAGCGAGTTAGATGTCGACGTAGTGTTGTGCTGGTGATTTTGAAATTAGGAAAAGTTGAGCAAAATAGGTTATGCTTTAAAATTGGTTTAATATTTATGTTTAAATGTTTATTATTGTAGTGTACGTACCACTTAGCTACGTAAACTCATAAAAAAGGTATAATCTATGGTGATACAGAGACTCGTAACATTTCACTTGTCGGGCTCTTGTCAAACTCTTACGGAACTGAAAATCATATAATTCGATAGAATAATGCTAAAAATGAAATAAATATCAACCAATCTTATACCCCTTTCAACAAGGAATCACAATAACTCGATTAGCTCAAATTACAGTCCTGCAAATTACTTCATCAACAATTAGACTAAAAAACCTCCAACGCTCTACTTAACTAACACTACCTAGCAATTTTCTACCATAAACTTTCGACTCGATTCTTGATTTATCGATAACGAGAACATCACTAGCGCACACCTTCCAAGTAATGGCTGAAACGTGTGAAGGGAATAACAGCGTGATCATTACGCTCGTAGTTTTTATCAGGCTGTAATGACGTGGGATATGAGAAAGCGTTTGTCACTAGTGTCTGGCCAATAAATATGATGTTGTTATGGAGAAATGGCGATGTGATTAACTTTTTTTTCGATTATGATTTGGTTTTGCCATGATGATTAGTTATTTTGGAAATTGAACGCAAACCACAAGACAAACTTAGGCTGGGTTGCACCATCTTACTTTAACTTTGGCAAACGTCAAAAATCTGTCAAACTCCATACAAAAGCACCGGTTATTTTTAAGGTCAGAATAAGGTGGTGTAACTCAGCCCGTGTACAAGTGAAGAGTATTTTTTATAGTTTTTTAACTGCTTTAGTATAATTTAGTGAATAGCAATAGTAAATTTACTTTGAGCTTTTTATCTATTTTCCTTTACTAATGTTAGTTTTTTTCTATTGCAGATGCCGTGATTTCGGGGCCACCATTAAAAAGGTAAACTACTTAGAATAAATTATTTTCATTCTTTGATTTCTACTTATTCTGTATAAATTATTATTTAATTTTCAAACTGCAACTTTTTCACCGATTAATAAATAACTCCATACCATGTATGGTTATGGTAGGTATGGAGTTTTTGCCTTTTGATGTAAAATAATTTCAATTAAAGGAAAAAACAATACCTATTAATCATCCCAAAATTGACTTTCATAAAATCCAGGCAGTCACATATAGATGATACGGCTTATAAAAGATTTTTCCCAAACAACATATTTATTCCGAATTTTCCGTACCCGATGAAATTACGATCATCGCCAAAACAAATCGGACATCAAATCGAATTCATCAAATACCATGCCTTTTTATTATATTGCCTCTAAAGCCCGGCCCGAGATAAATATTTGAATAGCCAACTCCATTGTTACGGGCAACTTATTTCGAAAATCGTAAAATTCACTCGCATGTAGGGATGGGCGAACAATTATCGATAGTTTACACCCACGCTGCACGCTGTGCCGTTGTGGAGTATGGCCTTAATAATATTGAAACATAATCTGTTTAACGATTTGGTTTAAGTGAGTGTGTGCCAGTACACCGCAATGAAAAAAGTCAAAATAGATATTGTGGCAAACCGAACCTCTTTGCCTTTTATACTTTTTTTATTTAATTTTTTTAAGAATAAACCTGTTTTTTGATAGCTGTCTGGTAGCAACGTCTCGTAATTAAACGCGAATAATTTACTTGGATATTGTCTAATATTTTTCACTCCTTTACCTCTGATCCCTCACTGTCCTCAATAGAATTATCTATTACTATCATCATCATCATTTCAGCCACAGAACGTCCACTGCTGAACATAGGCCTCCCCCAATGACTTCTACATCGCACGGTTGGTAGCGTATAGCTATTACTATCAATCCCAACTAATATTATAAATGCGAAAGTAACTCTGTCTGTCTGTCTGTCTGTCTGTCTGTCTGTTACGCTTTCCCGCTTAAACCTCGCAACCGATTTTGATGAAATTTGGCATAGAGATAGTTTGAGTCCCGGGAAAGAACATAGGATAGTTTTTATCCCGGTTTTTGAAACAGGGACGCGCGCGATAAAGTTTTTCTGTGACAGACAAAATTCCACGCGGGCGAAGCCGCGGGCGGAAAGCTTAATGTATAATATCCATAATGTCAAATTTCATAATTATTTTACAATAAAATAACATAGTACCCACAGCCACAGTTTTAACTATCCATTCTGTTTCTCACTCGCATCAAATGGTGATTCTTTGCGTTAGAACGAGACGACATGATCGGCAATGGGCAGTTAACACTCTTGCCGGTAGTACGTACGTGGTACGCACATTTTTAGGTTTATGTATTAAGTAAGTAATATGTACTGTTCCTGTTTATCACTTTGGGCATCGTAAAGATGTCTCTATATGGCACTCATGAAATATTTTAGTGCCTATCGATATCGGTAAAAATCAATTCAACACATCTCTACTCGCATCGAATATGTTCCAAACAATGTTTGTGGGCGATTCGTCAACGCGACAGGCAAATGTTATTAAATTTTATAATGGATTTGGGATTAACATGCTGAAGTGATTTTTACTTTATAAAATTATGTTCACCACCAACTTCACCAATATTTTACCTAGCTTACTGAGTTACATAACAATGCAACGGTATATAGTCAACTTTTGATACAGCAAGAGAAAAGTTGACTTCCCTTAACCCCTTTTTATTGCATTACATTTTATCAAACTGTTAAAGGGTTTGTCCAACTAAGAATCCACCCCAGTACCTACCTATGACTTTCTTAGAGTCAAAGCACACGATGCGTTGCGGCTGCGATGCGACGCGTGAGGGCTATCGCTGTGTCACCCATATAATTATCTGTGGATGCGGCGAAACCTTTGCGGTGCGGCGCCGCAACGCATCGTGTGCTTTGGCTCTCCGAGTCAAATTCGCTAACAACCTAGTCCGTCTACCTATATGTTTTCCTAGGAACACATTTTACACGCTTCAATTATCCCCAAAAATTGTTACAATTCACAAAGACATGTCAAAACGCCATCTCCTTCCTACCCACGAATGGAAGAAGCGAATTCGGCAGCTCAGATAGGAAATTGGCCGCCTCAGGCGGTGGCTATTATTTCTTTTGTATCATAGCACGCTCCGCGAACAAATTGCATCACAGACACCGTTTTTCGATTGATGCTTTCATCAAACTCATTTTCAATCGATTTCACTTCTCGTTTAAGCTTTTGATCTGAGGAGTCGTCAATAAGGGCGATTAATAGGAGTGTCAAAAGTAAATTTTAGTTTATGTAGTGTAAATAAACATACTTATTCTCTATTAATAAGAAATTTAAGGTCACCTGTAGCAGTATGGCGTTATTCTTCAAATATGAATGAAGGTTTTTTCTATCAAAAATGTAATTTCATCTTTTGTTAATCAAGACGTCTTTTGATATTACAGTTAATATTTCGATATTACAATGATTTTGTTGTAAGGAAAACAGCTAAATTGATTAAATATTCAGCCGTTATTTTCCTTTCAGTGGTTAATATTTCATCCACGTGTAACATAATTAATTACTCCTAAAGCTGTCTCACAAATCAGACGCCATTTTAGTTGTGTGGATTAAAAACTGACAAATCCACACTGACAGCTCCGCCATAAAAAATGTGTTGACAGCCCACAAATTCCCGCCAAGATTAGCGTTCACAGAATTGCATCCTATTCCGCGTATAAAATTCTAAATACAAAAACTTGAAGTTTGAAAATGGAACGGCTTTATTAACTGCCAGTCTGATATATATGTTAAAACAGATGTTCCACCTTCTTGCTTGACGGATGGGTCAGGCGAGGTCGCCGCCATCTTGCGAGATTCCCGCCATTCGTCCCGGGGTGCCTGTCACCGCGGCGAAACAATCAGCGGGATCGTGACTGGTAAACAGAAAGAGGATGTAATTACAGGAGGATTGTGTTAATGCACAGTCCACGTATGTTTAGTAGGGTTACTAAAATAAATATAAATAGGGCCCGGTTTCAGCTGCCGGAGCATGCTCATCTTCTACTCAAGAATTAATGATAAGTTAGTAATAAATGAAGAAGATGAACACGCTCAAGCCAAAAATCTCAACTCAGTAACCGGGCCTAGGTGTTAACTTATCTTCAACAACTATGAATTTAAATGAAATAACGCACGTTTTTTTACCCGACTACGCCAGAAGGTGGGTTATATTTTTTGAGAGTATAATATTTCTTTAGAACGTTTTATAGCCTAAACAGATTGTTAGATTTCAACGTGAGAGGTGTCGTAGAGTGACACTGGGTATTTCAAAATTGAAAAAAATAATAATAATGGCCGTGTAGAAGCCTGTTTTGTTTTTAACTACAGTATTTTTTTTGTTTTTTCAATAATAAGTATTTTTATAAGTTAATGAACAGCTTGTCTAGTAACTGAGCTTTCTTCTCCTACTTCTATTATTTAAAGTCGTACTTTAAAATAATCACAAAACAGTTTAGATATCTGGTTCTGTTTGAACTGCCCGTTCCACTTAGGTGGATTCTGTTGGTGTTCAGTAACGATGTTCCTGTTACAGTGGTTGGAAATTTTAATTAGTTGAGTTTAGATTTTCCTGGCAGTGAATTTACACTTAATTATGAGGCGAATGAAAATAATTGGTAAAGTTGGGTGAGCTTATTTTTCATGGGTATATCGCAGTTTTAGAATTTTGGGAATGGATGATCCGTACCTTATTAATATTTTAATATTTAAAGCAAGGATGCGTGGTCAACATTACGCCATTTTGTTATGCTATGCTACACAGTAATGTACTTACTGGATACAAAATGGAACACAGCCGATTCCTATCACATAGCTTACCTAATCTACGTAATTTAATACTTATTTCGTGCTTAGTCAGAAACTGTTTCACATGATAAGAACACCCGCGTAAAAACTTTCATCTGACAACCAAAAAATTAAGCTACAGAAAGAAAACAATTGAAACTCGATCCAAAATTGCAACAAAAACCCTTGCGATTCCAATTGGTCTTAATTGATCGACCCAAAAACTTTAATAAGAAATAATTATCCGTCCGAATAAAATAGGTACACTACACAAACAGGTCATTAGTCCACATCCTACAATTACATTCGCCAGCATATCAAGCTAAATACTGACTCTTATGCAGTCGCAATAGGTGGTATTTTACAGCAAAAATGTAAAGGCTGATGTGCCTGTACCTTCGTCAGGCTCCGATCACCCGAAACACCTGTCATGGACCTCTCTTTCCTTTAATGAAGACATTTAGATCCTTGCAGGTGTCCATAGCCATAAAGAAAGTTTATTCAGTAGGCTTATGCCCGTTTTCACCATCAATCCCTACATTTTAAGTGACCCCTTTGTAATCAAAATTCCTGTTAAGTGTCACCATAGGGGTCACTTAAAAAATAGGGATTGATGGTGAAAACGGACATAAATCTTTTGAAAGCAAGAGTATAACTAATTTATGACTGTATTTTATTGCTTTAGATTCCTTACTTGATTTTAGAGCAGAGTTACAATTTGCTTTTTCTCACTAGCTTATTTAAGATATTTAATTATAAGGATCGTAACTTAGAATCAAACTTCAACGGCGACTCTAAAATCTATTCTTGATAATTTAAATGATAACTTCTTACTAAAAAAATGTACATATTTTCGTACGTTCGTGGTATTCAAAATGGTCAATAATGACCCTACTGAGATCCTATTGTCACGTGATAACTCCCGATGGTGTATTTTAAATGCGCTTTGTTTTCTTTACAATTTTTTTCCGCAAAAGTTTATTACTACAATTTATAGCGGCTCAGAGGTGCATAATAAATCGTATCAATTCGTATAACAGATGTACGCAATTAAGCTGTAAAGTTACAATGTTTTTACGACTAGGGAAGTTAATCGTTGCTATTCAACCTTCGTGCTTAATTTGAGCTTAAACAA